AAGGCGTTTATTTTGTAGTTCTTTGGGCAGGGGTTCCCTCTACCCTGGCCCCTAGGTTGTTCTGTTCTTCATGCTGTTTCTTATAAAAAAAATGTCATAGCAATATGGTCACAATAGATATTTAATCAACTGCTGAGAACTACTGGTTAATGTTGTTGTATGGTGGTAGTCTCAAAGTTCAACACGTGAACTTTGATAATTATTCATCATCTATGTGTTTGGTGTTGATTCTGGAATCACAAAATGCTTTTACCCCTGCTTTTTTAACTGTGTGATGAGAATTTTGTTAAATACCTATCATTATGCATTCATGCATTGGCAGTCTCTTCTTTTAGCACCTACTATATATCTCATACTCACTGAATTCTACCTTGCTTGTCCTAACTGAATTTTACTTCCTTCGATAGGAGTGGAAAAATCTGGTAAAAATGTTGAAGGTGATTCATGGTGGGAAACTTGGCAAGAAGTTCTTCATCAAGATGAATGGAGGTTTTTCTAGTATTATTGTCCTCTTGCTCAATGAAATTGAGGGGATCACTTCTTACCAAGTAAAATAAATACCCTCTGCAATTCTGATGGTGCAGTAATCTTGCAAGGATTGAGAGGAGTGCACAGAAACAGGCAAAATCTGGCACTGAAAATGCTGGATGGCATGAGAAATGGTGAGACGTATTTGATGCAACTGAAATTATCGCCAATTAGGTTTGTAATACAGAAAAGTCGTGATTTGTTTAAGTTGTACAGGTGGGAGAAATACGACGCGAAAGGATGGACTGAGAAAGGAGCACATAAATATGGTAGATTAAATGAACAGTCATGGTGGGAGAAGTGGGGAGAGCATTACGATGGAAGGGGATCTGTTCTTAAATGGTTTTCTCTAATCATAGTTTTCAAATTATTTTCAATATATTTCATGCATCATTTATGGATAGAACACTGCAGATCTCTCGAAATTTTTATACCATACACTTCATTTATATTAGATATATTTCTTTTCATTGATAAGAACACTTGATGGATGCACAGTTGTCATGTTTGGTGTTAATTTTGTGTCACATGAAAAGCTTTAAGATATTGATAACTATAACTGGAAATGTTTTAATCAACTTCTTCATTCTTATGCTGTTATACCTGAGCTCCTTTGTTTGATCTCTTTGAACTTTCTAATGGTCAAAGCTTCTTCAAATAACTCTAGGATGCTAACAGTAGATCCGTTTTGTGCTTTTACCTCTTAGGACGGACAAGTGGGCTGAAACTGAACTAGGTACCAAGTGGGGAGACAAGTGGGAAGAGAAGTTCTTTTCCGGAATTGGTTCTCGTCAAGGGGAGACATGGCATGTATCTCCTAGTGGTGAACGTAAGTCTAATGTCGCATCATATTCAATTAATCTAAATCGGTTGGTTCCATTGAATTTTTGGTAGATAAAATTGGTAAATTGGTTTAGTTCAAGTGAAATAATGGAACCCATTTATTTGTGGGTCGGTTGCAATTGATTTTTCCCTATACCATTTAACCTGAACCCCTTGTTATGTCGAAACTATAAAACATTTTTAATTCTTCTTTTTCATATTAAGATTTAATTAATAAAAGCGTCAAGAATACATGCAAGTTTCAATGTTTTATTATTCATTATATGTAAAATTACCTTACTCTCTTCATTTTCATATTTACTTGTATAAATAATATTAGTTGCACTCCTTAATAATGTTTACCTGGAATTACATTATTACAATAATTATTTATTTCTAAGTTGCAAATTATCTCTATTCTAAAGATAATATTTGTTTTTCAAGAGGAAAAGTATTTCATATGAGAGCAAATACATATTACAACTTGGTCAACCGATTTAAGATACCAGAAAAATAAATTGATTGGAATTTTATTTTAGAGGATATGGATGAATCTTGTTCTACTTGTATACGAATATGGTTGGTTTAGTTTTATCTACTACTTATTTTTCCCAAGATAATGCCCACCTAGGATGCATTGAAACTCTATTTTAAGCATAGTGTTCAATTTCAATTATATACGTGCTGTTGATATGATGGAGTGTGATTTGAGCATTTCTTTATTATTATTTATGAAATTTTGAAGAATTTTGGATTTGTTTTAATAAGCTTGGGGTTGAAAACTCTAGGTCTTGTATTCAAATTTTTATATAAATGTGTTAGAGAAGCTTGAATTTATGTAGCTTATGTTGCGTTTTAGAAGCTTGAGTTTATCTTAGTGTTTAGTTTATGGGTTTATAATTGGGTCTCAAAAGTCTGTATCTGTGTAATCCGTAGACATTGTGTTTTTAGCAGGATAATGCTCTATATTTTGTTGTTGGAAATTGTCACGCTCTCAGATAAATAAATTTCAGCTGTCATATTTATGAGTTTTTCACAATTTCTTCAAAGAATGTCATTCTTTTTGTGGAATACATCATTATTATCTTTATCTGATGTCAATCAATTAAGCATGTGGGTAGTCAACCACCTTGGTCTTTTCTGTAGGGACTAAATTCTTCTATCTGAAGCAAATATTTGTGCTAAATCTCGCATTGTGTTTTGCATTTTGTGTTGTTTATGAGAGAAGTGGAACTAACTGCCTTCCCGTCACATGTACAAGGTTGGTCAAGAACGTGGGGTGAAGAACACTTCGGAAACGGGTAAGGTTCAAGCTAAAGGCTTTATGGATATTGCAAATAACATGCTAATACGTATAAGTGTGTTTGGAAATGCTTCTGGGAATCAGGTTTTATATAAAACATTTTTACTACTCACTTTTTTTTTTCTTTTTAGAAATACTAATTAAGCACTTCTTTTACAAGCGTTTTAAGGTGTTCCAATATTCTTAACCCCGGGCGATTAAGGTATATTGTACGAAGAGAATGAAAGGGAGAGGAATGATGTGTGAATTTATGACAGGAATGTTGTAGTTATGATGTGGGTTTTAGTGAATAAATGAGGGGAGGTATCTTTTCGCTTAGAATAACCTTGGGCTTTTAGGAGTGACAGGAGCTCTCTTGAACTTATGAATTCAAACTTGGGCTTTGTTCTCGGTAAAAAGTTGTTTTAAAATTCTTCTGATATGTAGTCAAAGCAATTTTAGAATGCTGAAAAGAAAACATCTGCTACATTATAAACTTAAGCTATTTTGCCAGTCTGCTCTAAAAGATGTTTCCTTTGCTTCATTTATTATAGCTGTATTGATTGCTAATGTTACCATCACTGTGTACCCAGTAAAGTGCACAAATATGGGAAGAGTACGACAGGGGAAAGTTGGGACATTGTTGTCGACGAAGAGACATATTATGAGTAAGTTTTCTGAGGCCTAAGTCCAGCTTATCTACAAATGTAAGGATGGTGAATGTATTGACATTTCAAAAAACTTGCACTTTTATTGCAGGGCCGAACCTCACTACGGATGGGCGGATGTAGTTGGCGACTCGAGCCAGCTGCTGTCGATAAAAGCTCGAGAGAGGCCACCCGGCGTCTATCCGAATCTCGACTTTGGATCAACTCCGCCTGCACCAGCTGAGGAACCACCACAAGAATTGCCTCCTTCACAATGAAGAGTTGGTGACTTCTAGGCCCTCATTATCTGGTTTAGCCCTTAGGAATTCTTTTTCCAAATCTATTTTTATTGAACATCATGAAGAACTACGTTTATTCATTCTTTAATGTTATCAATTTCTTCAGTCCCATGTGCATGAAATTCAATTCCATAACTATTTGGCTTAAAATTTTTGACATTGCTCCTTTTACTTTTTTTTTTCTTTCTTTTGAATAACATGTGGGGTAAAGATTCAAGGTCACGACCTGTTTTTGATTTTTGACATTGGTCTTGGATTTTAATGGGTGGATATCTAAATTCTTATATTTCTTTTGCAATTTAAGATGCTAGACACTTTGAAAAATCCGAACATTATAAGATGATATGTGAATTTGTTAGTTTGTTAATCTCATGGCTTAAGTTGGACTTCAATCGATAAGGTTGGTCTATTATTTTTAAAAATTTAATTTTGTTCTTCTAACTTTTATTAAATCTCTACCTTCAATATTAACGTGATGATTTAAAGTATGATGGGTTAAAAATAGTATTAATCATATTTTTAATATAAGTAAATATTTTTTATGGTTTGATTGGACTGAAAAAGCATTTAATCACTAACGTAGCCCACTTAGAAGTAGATAGAACCAGAATCAACATTTTTTTATAAAAAAAATGTTAACCAAAATTTTAAAATTAAAAGTTGAATAAAAATAAAAAATAGATTAAAATTTATAGACCACAAATAATATTTTAATCAAAATATTATCATTATCCATAAATATCAAAATTACAAATTTAGTCTTTAAATATTACTGGGGTTTTTATTTATTTCTTAAATTTAAAATTTATAATTATGTTACTGAATTTAAATTGTAATTCAATATAATCTCTATATTGTTGATCCAGTTCGCTAAATAATGACAATGAGGTTGAGTAGAGCATAGTTTAATTGGTCAAATAATGTCAACTTGAGCATATTAAACATATTAATACATGAGCTTAAATATCTCTTATGGGAGGTTCTCCACTTTTAAAGCTTAGGAACTTATTAATTAGAACTCTAGACCAATTTGATATATCTTAGTGAATAAAGGAAAAATCTCTACTACTAATGTGGTGTTGAAAAAGCTTGGCATTTGAATGCATGTATTTAATTTATTCGGAGTTATTAGAGAGGGAAAAATTTTCATACCACTTTGTTCATTATTTGTCATATCAACATTGTTTAAGAATGGTGTGGAGTTCATGAAATAAAACAATGAATTACTCAAATGTATCAAATTTTGAGTAGAAGGAGAAGAGCTGTGATTTTTCTTTTTTTCTTCTGTAGATAAGACACATATCACCGTCTCAAAAGTTAAAAAAGAAAGATAGAACTCTAAGACTCAAGTGCCAAAAGGGGAATTGAGCATTTTGTTTTACAGGGAACTAGGGTGGTTTTTTTTTAAGATGATAAATTTGTTCAGTCAGGTTTTATCAATCACTTTTTTTAAGATTAAAAAAAACCAATGATCTATTACATTTTAGTGCGTGGTAGATTCTTACCAAATACTTGTATCATTTGATGATACTGTGTGAATCGCCAAAACATGTGAAGTATATGACTAATCCAATAAAAAAGTTTCGTAAGGGAATTTGAGCAGGCTATGATCAGACAAACAAAAGATCTATTATTTAAAAAGATTCAATTCTAAATTATTAACAGTACATAGTTTTCCACCTAGGAGCCCCCTCCTTACCATATTCGAATTCAATGGTCTGAATAAATTCCTTACAATAATTGTCTTGAATCTCGATCATGATTTTCCTACCCATAAAAAGAAAAGTCATTTCCTTTCGATCTATTGTAGATGGGTTCACCCATAAAAAGAAAAGTCCTTCTCTTTCTAATCTATTGCAGATGTGTATGAATTCAAACTCTCGACAGTGTGATTTGTAGTTAGGCGGTCCAAGCACCACACATCTCCCTAGATTAAACTTATAACTGAGATTCAAACTCTTCAATGTGAGCTAAAGATTAGGCAAAATGGAAAGGAAAGCACACGCATGGTTCACTTCAAACTATCTGATTTGGATCATCGAAAACGTGCCGCACGCGCTGCTAGCTGCTTCTCCCGGCCACGGCCACGAAAAAGCTCCCAAACATTTCTCTATCACCCATTGATCCTTCTTCTGCCTCCTTTTACTGCTCTTTAATGGCGATGATTTAGACAAATTTTACGTTTTCAGAGCTCAAATCCTCAAAATCCCCAACTTATATGCTCTCCTTTAATCTCTTCTCTTTACAACGGAGCTGAACCATGTCTTCGTTGACCCTAAAACCCTCCTTTCCCACCTCTAACTTATCTTCTCCTTCTTCTTCCATTTCTCTCAATTTTCCTCGCTTCTCTGTAATTAGCTTCCCGAGGAAGCCCAGAAATGGCCTCGCCGTGAGACTCCGCGCCTACGACTCTTCCAAGAGCGATATGCCCGATTTCTCCTCCGGCGAACCCAACCCTCCCAACGGTACTTTGGTATTCCCGTCTCTCTCTCTATCCTCTCCTCAGCTTTTGTGCTTTTCTTGTAGCGTACGGTTTATATTGTCAATGGGTATGTTGTAGAAATGTCAACGGGAACTTGGGGAAGTTTGAAGCTTTCCAGCAGTCGTGGATTCCGTTCTACTGTATTCTCTATTATATCTAGCAGAATAATCTGAGTGAATATTTTTCAAAATGGGTCTGGTTTGATAATTGGGAGAATGCATTTTTGTTAGATATCACTGTCGAACATTGAAATTATGGATGCTGTAGCTATCGTATATCTTTAACGGGTGGTATATTCACTTCCTTTTAGAGCTTTTACCTTGCTACTAGCCATTACGTGGTGCTGTCTGTAAAGTGTTGATAGTGATTTTTAGTTTTATTCTTTGTTAATTTGGTTGGTTTTCTAAGTCATCATGATGAACCTGATGGCTGTTTTGTATTGATTCGGTTTTCGTTATGTTTGTTCTAGATTTGACCTTCTGTAATTCTTTGAACATCTTTTGTGGAATTGGCAGCCAAAAACCCGAAGGGACATTCTACTGGAATATGTTAAGAATGTCCAACCAGAATTCATGGAATTGTTTGTTCAGAGAGCACCAAAACAGGTGGATCTCTATTTGGTTTAATATCAATTTCTTTGATATAGGACTCAACTTACTGTTATGGTCAATTCCATGAGTCTCCAATCATTTTATTCTTCTCCGATTCCTTTTTTAGGTTGTTGATGCAATGCGTCAAACAGTCACAAATATGATTGGAACTCTACCTCCACAGTTTTTTGCAGTTACTGTCACCACAGTACGTATATATGCTTTTGTTATTCTTACATTCAGAGTTACCCAAATATTTGTTGTACAATTGGTATTCAGTAAGATCGTGTGTTTAAATTTAATATTTGGTTCAGGTTGCTGAAAATCTTGCACAGCTCATGTACAGTGTAATGATGACTGGATATATGTTTAAAAATGCCCAAAATCGCTTAGAACTGCAGCAAAGTTTAGAGCAGATTGCTCTCCCAGAAGCAAAGGATGAAAAGGTATTTTAGATGTTTCTATGTGGACCTTGACAAATTTAACATTGAAAATTCCACACATTTTAATTTTTGAAATAATATTTCCTATTTGCTCATCCATAAGCAAATAAATACTGACAGTCCTCCGGCTGTGCATCTGTTACTTTACACTGGGTTAAAAGCCAGATCTGGATTGACGTCTGTCATGATAACTTCCGTTTTCTTTCTTCAGTTGTTTTATTGCAAGTGTGATTCTAGTTTGTTTTGGCTTACTCATCCTGGAAGTCAGGGTTGCTAAAATGATATGACCATGATGTTTCTATCCTTTTCATAAATCAAATTAAGCTTGCTAGAATTTACCGGGATATCCCAACTTCTTGCTAACTTTAACATCATGCAAGGATTTCCATGATACTGTTGCATGTTCCTATCCAAAAAAAAAAAAAAAAAGTTCTCTGGGTCTTATATCACATATGTCACTTCACTACTGCATTACAAATGCATCCATTTTGTTTTGTTCTAGGCAAAGTCATTGTTACTTTGACCACGATAGATTACCATAGTGCATCTATATTAGAGATGTGGTAGAATTGTTGATTTATGGAGTTCTTTTTCTTTTTATTATTTATTTATTTTTTTTCACAATAGTGACTAGAGAATGATGTGGAATATCTATCAGAAGCTTTGCTCTGTAGTCTGTTGGTCCCTTACTCTGCTCTTAAGTTTCACTCTTAAAGGTCTATAAGTGAATGTCTTAGATACATTTATTTTGTTTAACGTCGTTACTGTAGAAAGATCTAATTTCCCCTTTGAGCATTCTACTTATCTGACTATAATTATTAGCATTATGACTTTTCACCATTTTAATAAATCATGGCTAAGGCTTAATGTGATTAGTGCTGTAGTTCAAGGATCCTTCTTGTCTACCTAGTTTGTCATTGTTCTGATACAATCTGGTCATGTACTGCCTATACAAACATTCTCATAAAATTTCATTAAAAATCTCTCTGTTGTCTACAAATTTATGTGTGCAATGGCATATTGTTGAGAAGGTGTCTGGTCTTTTACTTTAATTTATCTAATATGAATTAATCCTGTGATTGTTCAGGATGATTCGAATTATGCAGCTGGTACGCAAAAGAATGTCACAGGTGAAGTTATCAGGTGGAATAATGTATCTGGTCCTGAGAGAATTGATGCTAAAAGGTACATAGAACTACTTGAAGCAGAGATAGAGGAACTGAATCAGCAAGTAGGAAGGAAATCTGCAAATGGGCCAAATGAATTGTTGGAATATCTCAAATCCCTTGAACCCCAAAATCTGAAGGTAAGAAAACTTTCATTTTCTTTGCTAGCTACTTGCTTTTGTTGGGCTTGTTGAATGGTTATTAGATTTTTGATTAGTTATCTAGTGTTGGAGTCCGCTGGACTTCAAGTTACAACGTCATGTGGTACAGTCGATTGTCTACAGCAAGAAAAAGTGATTTTTTTTTTATTTTTGTTTTATTTTTTAAATTTAAAACTTTTTTGAAACAAGAAGCAAGAAGCACCTTTCCTTTATATATCGAGAAGTCTTTGTTGTATCAAAGATGATGCTGACACTTACTGTCTTGGCTCCATTAATTGTGGTTAAACTTTAAAGAAGCATCACTTAAAACCTGTAAACCAAGACATTGTTGATATGATTGTGGGACTGAATGCGCTTATACAATTCAGGTGTCACAGTTTGGCAAACTATTAGCTAACCTCCAATTTAGCCACCATATAAGAGACGGGGCTGATGCCATTCAAATGCTATTCCTTTGAGGACAAGTTGTCTTTTATGAGCAGCGTAATTGTAGGATTGTATAAGAGGTATCTTATTCATTAGCAAATAAGTTTATTAGAAAAAAGTAGTTATAAATGGAGTCAGGGTAGAGAAGTTAAGAAATTATTTAGCTTTTTGGATTTGAGCTTGCTCAAGAGGGAGTCGTCCAAGTTTCTTTATTTTCTTGTTTCTCAAATTTCAACATTATTTCTATTTCATTCTCTGGTTTCTAAAAGAAAAAAAAAACCCATTTAAAATTCCATGCATACAAGCTCTGTTCTAAATTCTATGCAGCATTGTCATATTCATATTTGTATGACTATATACCCTTCAAGTTGGATGCTTCCTCAATTTTTTTAAACCTGAATCCAAACAAGTACCATTGATTCAGGAATTAGTTTGTTTGTTATCTGTACTGATCTCATGCCATCAATAGCACCATCTAAACCTTTGATTACCACAAATGTAGGAGTTGACAAGTAGCGCTGGTGAAGATGCTGTAGTTGCAATGAATACATTCATAAAGCGCCTTTTAGCGGTTTCAGATCCAAGTCAAGTGAAGGTCTGTGTCTAGACAAACATACTCTATCCTTTTTGCTAACCGTAACTGCTAAGGGTTGACGATCGGTTTGGCCAGTTTGGTCAAGAACCAAACTAAGTTGAACCGGTTACATAGATAAAATAATATTGTTCATTACAAGAATGCAACTAAGATTCTGCATTTATTTTGGATCTTTATGTTTCAGACAAGTGTAACAGAGACCACAGCACCAGAGCTGGCGAAGCTTCTGTACTGGCTAATGGTGGTTGGGTACGGCATTCGCAACATCGAAGTTCGGTTTGACATGGAAAGAATTCTGGGAAGTTCGCCGAAACTCGCAGAGCTTCCTCCTGGAGAAATTGTGTAAGCCTGCAAGTGCAAGGTTGAGAATTAAGCACAAGAAGGCCCGAGTATGATGTTTTAATCTTCTTTCAGCTGGAAGCGAGCAATCATAGAAACCCGTTGACGACTAAACTGTGTTTGAAAGGAGGAAACGTTTACTTCGCCACTCTCTATTTAACTTTTACAACGATTTTATAAACGTAAAATAATGAAATTTGTTGGAGTAAGTTATAATAAGTTGGAGCAGACCTTAACGGTTCATAAAATTGTCAACTCATTCTGACTTCTCCCTTCTCATTCTTCTCCTCTTCACGCCCCAGAAAGTGCTTACGTTTGATGCCGAAAGAAGAAGTCTGTTTTTGTTGACGTACCTAAGCAGCTAATTCCATCTTTGTTTACTCTTTCAATGAATACGAATATTGAATATCTGAATTCAAATGATAGAATATTAAATATTTATGTTTGAATATGCAGAAAATTACTGGAAATTAGAGGTTTGTGTTTGTTTTAAAGAGTAGAGTTGGGGGGGCACTGCGAGGACCCGTCCCTAGTGGCCAGTATAATGGGCAATCCTCAGGGATTTTTCTGCTATTCCCGGCCGTGATTCTCCTATTAATCTGTGGAATTAAAAAAAATTAAATATGGTTTATTTTTCTTTTAAATTAAAAATATTGTAATAGAAAATAAACTAAATCATCAAGCTAGTCAAATAGAATTAAAACGTTTTAATGGGGTGGTTGCTAGAGGCTAGAACGAATTTGGTCTTGGATATTCATTAATGAATTAACCCTCTTTTTGGTTGAGTGATGATTTATTATCTTAAAAAATTGATTATTTGATCTCGATTAAAAAAACAAAGGGGTCGAATTCCTTAATTCAATAATTTTGGAAAATTGACAAATTTGATCCAAAATAGTTTTTGATTTGTTCAAATGACCTAAAATACAATTTTTAACTTTTCTGACCCAGTTTACTTTTTTCTGACAGTTTAGAGAGTGTATAAAGATGGATATACCCTTCACTTTTGACAGAAGAAAGGACGAAGTACCGCTTGAAGTTAATTAATTCATGGCCTGGGTTGAAATGCTACACGGCCGGGATTTAATTTCTTTACAACCAATGTATTTATTTCCTCCACCAAATTGTTGTACTTTCATTAAACACATTCTATACTTTCATTAAACATATTCTCCTATATTCGAGTTGATATCAGAGGAAAAAAAAGCTTCATTTTCAGTTTTGTCCTTATTCACATGTTGCATGTTTTTTTGAAGAAATCCCACACCTTTTGCAACATTTTTAACACCTTCAACACTTGAAAGAAAGCTATTTCTTTATTTTCGATAGGTTCAACGAGGTTAGTTTTTTATTTGTTCAGAGTATTATTTTTTATGCATTATGAAGGTGTTTTATGTTGTTGAGGTTTACGTTGTTGAGGTCAAAAGTTAATGTTATGGAAAATTAAGAAACTTTTATATAATGGTTGATTCCCGACCGTGGTTATACGATTCACGACCGTGGTTTTACAATTCCCGGGTGTGGTTGTGAGATAATCACTCCTGCCCGTGGTTGGAAGTTACCTTGGCCGTGAATGTAAATTAATTTTCTTATATGTTAACTCGGCTTTCTGGATTATTGGACCGGATTTGCAAAGTTGATGTAACTAATTGTTGTGTGATGTAAATTTATGTAAAATGCGTCGAATATTTGTGATCTACGATGGCAAATGGAATGAGGCTGGTACGATGTACATAGGTGGCGTTATTGGTGGTCTTGAAGTTGATGAAATGATAACATTTGCCAACCTAGTAAGTGATATGTATAGGCTTACTAGAATTGATCCTGACCAATTTGACATTGTGATACAGTATGTATATAGATTTAGTTTTCAACACGAAGTCCCAAACTACCATATATTTGATGATGCCAGTTGGAGATTTTACTTGAATGACGCTCCAAGTTCTCCTTAGGTGCCCTTGTATATAACTGTCTTGCCGAAAGCAACATATGGTAGTGGTAGCAACCAAAAAAATATTTTTTTTGGAAACGCAGACATCGTCTTCATTCCCATACTACCCAAGTTAGGCTGATCCTTGTTTTGGCCCGTCACATTCTATTCACTCTCCCTTGGATCATGCTTGTTCCCCCTCATTTGTCCCACGTATTACACTACTGACCAATAACGTTGTCCCATGTAATCAAGGCAATGACGAATCACCATATTGTGGGAAATTGTACGACAATGATGTCGAGTATAACATCCAGAGCGGCAATGAGTACGATTATGACGAGAATCAAACTGAGGATGGGGTTGATGACGGGGATGTTGGAATGGACTTTGATAATGATGGTGGGAATGAGTATCACAACGATAACCAGAATGTCAGTGAAGAACATTTTGAGAATGAAGGTCAACGTGTAAATGAGTCGCATCTAGTGAGTGCCAACGCACCTGAGCCCACATTTGAAGGATTAGTTTCCCGTCCAATGCAGAATATCATAACTGGTGATGTAGCTGAGTTTGTAGGTGAGATTGCTGTTAAGGATATTTTCTGTTCGAATGAAGAACTACGCTTCAAGCTATCTGTGTTGGCTATGAAGCTTAACTTTGAATTTAAGGTAAAAAAATCGACGAAGACATTGTACACCGTCGAATGTACGGAGGAAGGTTGCAAATGGGGTTTGCGTGCAAAAAGCATCCGTGGTGGTGACTCATTCATCATTTCGAAGTTTACCGATGTCCACAACCTACGTGTGGTACTGAACCATGACCACAGACAAGCTGGGAGTTGGGTAATCGGTAAGTTATTGAAGTTCAATTTAGAAGATGTAAGCTGTGAGTACAGGTCGAAGGATATTATTAGCGACATGCGAAACTATGGGGTTAACATTAGATATGAAAAGGCATGACGGGCAAAAGAGGTGACATTCAATCTGCTTATGGGATCACCCAAAGAGTCGTATACTTTGTTACGCAAGTATGGAGAAGCCTTGAAGGCTGTCAATGCAGGAACTATTTTTGAAATGGAGCTGGAGAATGATAAGTATTTTAAGTACGCCTTCATGGCCCTTGGTTGTTGTATTAGAGGGTTCTCCAGTTGTATCCACCCAGTGTTACTGATAGATGGTGCACATCTGAAGGGTAAACATAGAAGTGTTATCCTTATTTCTTCTTGTGTTGATGGTAACAACCAGATCTATCCTCTTGCGTTTGGACTTGTAGATTAGGAGAGTGATCAATCCTGAACTTGGTTTCTGCAAATGGTGAAACGTTGTATTGGAGAGGTTGATGGGTTATTATTTGTATTTGACCGGCACGTGACCATTACAAAATCTATTAGGGAGGTTTTTTCGAATGCGTCCCACGGAATCTGCATGCACCACTTGTCCACAAATTTGAAGGACAAGTTCAAGAACGATGCTATTCAAGAAAATTTCATTCTAGCAGCAAAGGCATTCTGGAAGTTAGAGTTTAGGTACTATTTCTCCCAACTTGCAGGATTTCCAGAGGTCCAAAGGTACTTGGAAGGAATCAGTTTTGATAAATGGAAACGTGGATTTCAACTGGGATTGGGGTACGACCAAATGACATCCAACGTTGCGGAGTCCATGAATGCAGTCCTTGTACACGCACGTGCATTGCCAGTAACCACACAAAAATAAAAAGAAAATTATATTTATATAAAAAATATGTTCTATCAAAGACATAAAGTAGTTCCGTTTAGGAACTTCTAATGGAGATATGTGAATACATTAGGTTCTACAAAAAAATTGTTTTTGCGTCAGTCAATTCAAAACCCGGAAAAAGGTTTTATAAGATTAAAAAGGTCCGTTGAGCGCCTCATGGCTATGTCATAATAGATCAGAACACTTGCCTCGGATCAACTTCCAGATCATAATTGCTCTTTCTTAAACATGTTTGAGCACTGTTGCAGTGGTGGTTTTACGAGAGGCAAACATATGCATCTAGTCGCGAAACTATCCTTACTGACTATGGTGAGACAAAGATGCGTACTGCAGAGAACCTAGCTCAAACACACTCCATCACACTCATTGACCATCGCGAGTTGGAGGTGAGCGATGGACTGAAAAGAGTGTGTGTGAATTTAAATACAAGGACCTGTGGATGTAAACAGTTTGACTACTTTTAGTTCCCGTGCTCCCATGCTATTGCAGCGGCAACCCTTCGGAACGTGAACAGATATACACTATACTCACTTGTATATAGTCTCCAAACTTTAATTACCCCATATGCCGAACCTGTGTTCCTTCGGCGATGTAGACGACTGGATTTTACTTGAGGACTTTGTAGAGTTCAAAGTGGAGCCACCCAAACTTGTAAAACGTGTTGGCCGATGTCAAATTGTACGAATACCGTCTGCTAGGGAGGCCCGCCAAGTCCACAAATGTGGTCGATGTGGCAACATGGGACACAATAGAAAAAACGTGCCGCCAGCCACTTAGAATTACTGGACCAGATGCCAATGGTGGGTAAAACGTTGTACTCCACTTAGAACTATGAACGTGCTTTATTTGCTTATTCAACACTTTAGTCATTCAGTATTCAGTAAAAATTGTTATGGTTGTCTATGATAGAAAATGCTTTCTGGAATATTTCACGGGCGTCAATGGTCGAATTTATGGCTGGGATTCCTCCTACAGCAATATTTTTTGAAATTTTCCCGGCCGTGAATTGTGTCACACACGACCGAGATTTATCTAAGCATGAATTGGTAAGTGTCAATGGATGAATTCACGTGCTTTATGTAAAATTTCACGGTCGGGAATTTAATATATTTCAACCATGAATTGGTCTTAGACTATCCCAAATGCTAAGTGTCACTGATTTCAATCCACCTGTATTCAAACGTGTATCCTAATTACAAATATGTGTTAGTTTGAAGTCCCAAACTACTATTAAGCAGTCAACACTATCATTCATCAAACATGTTAAGAGATCAAAACATCAGCGTTCGAACGTACCAAACAAAATGCGCTAAATAGGTAAGTCATTACAACACCAAAACATCAGAATATGGATTTGTTCGCCTATAGTTGTACCGCGAACTGCTGCCTAAAGAATGACATCCTATCCTGTGTTAAGGTATCTAATCTAGAATCCATCATATCGAATTCAAAGAACTTTACACAAAATATACCATAGTCTCTATCTCCCTCATGCTGTAGTGCAGATGAAACTCGACGTATGCGTCATGGTGTGATTGGGATCTCAGGCCTCTTTAACCGAACACCTGCCCTGCAAATAAGAGTTGGTATGATTGTTCGCATCGACTTCAACTCATCTTCCAAATTCGGCAACGGTGTCATGGCCATGGTTGAGTCCCACTCGATCAACTCACCCTCTTCGAAGTCGATGCACACCATTATCCAATGGGTTCCACCAATG